TCCTCCTCCTCCTCCTCCTCCTCCTCCTCCTCCAGCACCTCAATACATATTATGAAGAAAATATATAATGTACATGAGGAATAGGAGGAGGAGGAGGAGAGAGAGAGATTATTTTCGTTTAGATTCTAGTGCTGTGTTCTGTCTTTGTGGGGGGAAAAAAGATTTAAAATTCTTTCCGACTAGATCTGAATTTCCTTAGTTCCTTTTTATATTTCAATGTTCTTTTTGTTTGTTTGGTGGTTGTTGGGTTCTTTCTGGGGGTGTTGATTGTTTTGTTTTGTTTGTTTGTTGTTTGGGTTGTTTTTTTTCTAACCACACGGATTTTTCTATTTTATTTCTATTTCTTTCGTAGTTTCTATTGCTGTTGTTCTCTCTCTGTCTCTCTCTGTCTCTCTCTCTCTCTCTTTTTCTTTTTTTCTGTTGATTGTTGATTCATGTCTCTTTGATTTATATTTTTGTATTGGCAATTTTTTTTCAGGTTCTATTTTTGTTTTGTTTTGTTTTGTTTATACTATTGGTTTATTTTGGGATTTGGGGGAGGTGGAGGGTTTGATATATCGGTGGGTGGTTGGCGGGTGTTCTGGTGTGGTTTGCTCCTTCTTTCCTATGCGCACATATGACCTTATGCAGTTTCGAGCGCCGTAAAATCTCTACTAAACTAAACTAAAACATATATCGTCCTGATTTCTCTTACTTCTGTTCTGTGTTTGGTAAATATTCTCTTGTAACACCTCTAATCTTCGACATTTATAGGACCTTATTGTGTTGCAAGTGCCGTAAAATTTTTACAAAATAAAAAAAGTCTAAACAACAACTACAAATAAACGATAGAGCAATATAAGGGGCATATAGAAAAATTGGCTGATACTTAGCTAGACATGCCTTCTTTTGATATGAACCTTTTTTGAGCAAAGGAAACTCTTGTTTTTACTTGACAAATTAAGAGTCTCTCTTTGGGTTGTGTTTGTTGTATGTGCTAAAGCATTCATCTGATATAAGTGCTTGTGGGGGTCGGCGGGTGCTCTGGTGTGGTTTGCTTCTTCTTTCCTATCAAACATCTATCGTCCTTATCTCCCCTCATTCTATTTTGTGTCTGTTGCTCTCTTGTAACACCTCTAATCTTCGGCACTTATATGAAGTTATATGACCTTCTTGTGTTGCAAGTGCCATAAAACACTTACTAAAACAAAAATTGATATCTTAGCCGTGCTGACAAAATGAGTTACTTTTGGCAATCCACAAATGGAGATATTCCCCCAATAAAAAATCAATACTAAGGTCAAATTTGTAGATTTTCCATTGATGCTATATTCTTTAAGTGTAACATGCCTGTTATTATTTCATACTTATGTATTTTTAAAAAACTTATAGGTGTGATGTATCTATTTCTATACGGCTCGAATCCAAGAAGTAACTCATTTTGTCAGCACGTTTCACACTCACACTCACACTCACACACACACACACACACACACACACACACACACACACACACACACACACACACACACACACACACACACACACACACACACACACCCCGATGCAAATGCCTTTTCAATGTCGTCTAATCGTTGACAACTTGGTCCTTTATTTCCCCAGAAGTGTGAAGAAGCCATGCAAATGATGTTGCCCCCGCACTCACGCCCCGTTCTGGATCAGCCAATCGCACGCCCCGTCCCAACAGTCATGCAGCAGATTGCCCAATCAGAGCAGGCCAGGGCGTGGCCTGTCCGTGGTCTCAGCCAACCACTGCACCCGAGCGTCTCCAACTTTGACAATGCGCAAATACAAGCTCATCAGTTGAGACTGGCGTACCACCAGTCCTTCTCTTCTTCCAAACTGCAACAACAACAACAGCAGCAGCAGCAGCAGCAACAGCAGCAGCAGCAGATGGAACAGCTCTTGCTTCAACGTTTCCAGGATCACGCTCGACAGACGAGCGCGTTGCAGCAGAAGATTATGGCGTCAGGCGCCCCTGTGATCACGCCAACCCTCAACCTCTTCGGCGCCCGCCCCAGCTTCCCTCCCGGTTACGAGATCCCCGGGAGTGCGATAGAACTGGGCGAGAGACAACGCCAGCAGCAGCAGCATCATCACCTCCTGCTTCACGCTCAGAAAGGAAACCAGCTCCGCTCTGAGCTCCTACAGGCGGCGACCCAAACACCCGAGCATCAACAGAAACAGCAGCAGCAGCGCGGGTTACCGTTCCAATTTCCGTCGGGAGCGGCTATGCCGTCAGTGGCCCAGCCACGCCCTGTGTCTGTCCCTGTCCCTGTCCGTCTCGCCCCGTCCGGACCAGTAGCAGGGTCCCCTCTGTCCCCTCGAGTGGTCACCCCCAGAGGCTCCTCTTCCTTATCACAGCCGTCCTCTCCCACGTTAGCCGGACCCCGCCCCGAGATGCCGCCACAACAACACAGCGTCGGTCACGGTGGACACTCGCTCGCTGCCTCCCCGCCCACTGCAGACACGCCGGACTCTAAGTGGTGGAGCGTGCAGCAAAACCAACACACCCACGCCCACGCCACGCCCCTTTCCCCCTTCGTTGACTTGATACTATCAAGGTAAAGAGCGTATGTTCGTTGAAAAAAGCGACGTTATAATGGACGACTGAACACATCAGAACTTTTCACCCAGCCACC